TATTAATGATAAACTGAAACTAGATCGAGGATTCTCGTTATCTAACAATAACTTCAATGCAAAAATTTTCTCACTCAAAAATTAACTGATGCGAGTGTAAGCGTAATGGATTGCATTATTATTTGCGTCCATAGTTTTTATGATCAGAGCATTTAGTTTCGCGTGTTTAAAACTGTTCGCTATTGTTCGTATTTATCGTAATAATTTTCTAAATTTTAAGGTCACCAAACTTTAATTGATAGTTGACTTCCGTTCGCTCGCGGCCCGACTGAACTGAAACGTACCTTGCGTTAAATTACAGGTTTCCGACTTAACACTAACTGCTTAATGCAGACGGTTTTCGCGGTTCAATGCCGATTGTCGCACGGTCTTGAGTAACACAATATAAAAACTGCCCTATGGTAACTTACAGGTAGTCGACTTAACTTTACGGACCGCCCAACGTGAACACTGTCACGGTTCAACGCGCATTCCCTAGTGGCTCTCTTCGAAAAACCAAATTTAAACTACTTTTCTTCTTGAGTCACACTTAAATTCTATGACAAATCTTTTTCACTGTAAAGATACACAGTTTCAGATTTACCATTTTGGTAGAAAATGGTAAAACTATTTTGTTTAGATACCGTGAGTTGCCGCCATTAATCGCATCTTTCCGCCACTCTCAGTTATCCCCCAAACGTACCCGGCTGAATAATATAAAAGCGAGCCTCCGATTTGTGAGAGAAGGCTTTTAGTTCACTTTTCCTTAACTCGAAGTCTAACGAACCCAAACAGCCAGACCTGCAATTCCAGAATTTTTCCAGATTTCGTAAGCGTAAAGACCGCTTGACATAGTGCAATACAAGACGCAAGAACCTGTAGAATGAAATTTCAAGGTCACGGAATTGCAATAAGCGTTGCATTGTGTTTGACAATTCTATTTCAATTACCACATGTCTGCCAACAGAAGAAAAAAATGGATTTGTCAACAAAGTTTCTAACCTCAAACAAAAAAAGTAATTGCTTGAAGAAACATGCAAATTACAACAATAAATAGGATTACTTTAAAGAAAGTTAATCAGTGCATCCTTCAGCATCATAGTTGTCATTGGCATTTTACAAGTTTGGTGACACAAAAGCAACTAAATTTATTCCCAGAATTGCGCGGTTCATGAATCGAAAATAGCCATGGTCCTATAAAAATTATACGCGAGTCTCTTGCGGCAATTGATTGAACTTTGCACGCATTTCGCAATGTTTCTTGCAACTTGCAATTACAACCTTTATTGAGGTTTGCCTTGTTTGAGCGGGAGTAATAACCCTGAATTATCCAGAAGCTCATGGTCAGTACTGCGTACCAAAGGCTTGCATTTTAATCCTTACTAATCCCTCATACACTCGACCTTGAATTAGATAAGTTTGGACAACTACTTTATTAACCTAAAAAACTAACATTCATATTATACACACTATATGATATCTTATTGCCTTGTTTTAACACAAATAAAGGCATTCATAAATTATCAGCTTCACAAGTAACTTTCAGCTTTCAGACTAAGCGATGCAGGAATAACACAATAGTACGAATATAATGCCGAAAACCCGAAAGTTCTACGATACTCCGATCGATCGATTTATAAAAGGGGTCCGAACAGTCGACAGTTGAAACAATAAGCTCCCTTTTTAAAATCAAAAATGCGTTAAAATTTGAATCAAAGAAGAGTTGTATATCAATATAAATAGGCCATCCGAGGGTATGAGCGTAATGTTTCACGTGTTAATTCTAAAAGATACAACCATAGGTCACACTATTGGCAAAGACTTGAGACGCGAACGGTCTTTTACCAGTTTACTGTCAGAGAGCTTTTCACGGAACTGATAGAAGGATTTAACAAAACCTCCTGTGGAACAAATGCATCGATAATGACTTACAGAGTCCAGGAATTTGTCGAATTTTTTTAGTTTTCCCCAGGGCTATGTTGAAAGCGGGTAGGTACTTATGTTTTGGTGAGATGTAAACCTTAAGAAGATAAATTAAGTCTACAATTTATCTTAGTTCCCTGTTAGAAATCGACCATTGTTATCCTTTGTAGTGGCATTCATTGGCATACGAATCCCAATATCACAGCAATAATAGAGTAATATATTTCGCAAAGTACAAAAGGCAACGGGAAAGTTTATTTGTAAACAATTCCGATAAATTCACGTTTGCAGTGCACCTACCCCTCTACGCAATTTCAACACAAATCCACTTCCTAAATGCAGGCTACCTAATCGGCGTTTATCCTCTATCGATGGATTCCAGCACACAAATGGTAATTTCGCATATCGGACGAGAAAGAGTCTTTCGCGTCAACATCAATCTTTTACGCTTGACGTCTAAGGGCTGCAACAAAAACTTCTTCGTTTTAAATTTCCCCTTCGATCAAATCGGGATATTCCAATTTGTGCATTGTACGACGAAGTACCCCAAACTGCGTTGGATTTACTCAGTAATACACATGAAGACAATCGTTTTGAAATACTAAATTCAGGACAAATCTAATTTAATATTTCAAGTGGCTATGGAACCGTCCAGCGGTTCTTAACTACTTTGGGCACACCTGATTTATTACAAGTAAAATACCCTTTTGGTCTAATTTTTCCGAACTTTAAAAACACCTGTTTCTCTGATACCACGCATAATTTTAATTTGCGCAATTACTTTATGTAGATACATTTTCGTTGTGTACAATTTCTTTATCTTTAGAAGTTATCTGATGGGCACATGGGTGTTAATAGTTTAATAATTGGAGTAATTGATAAAATTTTGTTTACATGGTAAAAGGAGGGCCTGCTATTTTTACGACAGGTGAATTATTGAAATTATTAGTTTATTCATAGTGATTTAACGTTTTGTGAGCTTTAACTTATTTACGTCGTCGTGTTCGTGTCCAGTTTTACGTTAGTCGAGTTCTTGCAATGCAATTTATGGTCGACCTATACAGTTTTTTGGGAAAAAAAGTATAGAAAAAATTATCATCAGAACCAGGGACCCGGACCGGACCGAAAAAGAACCGAAACCGGATCGAAACCGGTATTTTTTCTGGACCGAAAACCGAACCGAAACCGTTATTTTTTCAGAAATGGAAACGTATTGAGAACCGGAACACATATTACTTTTTTCGGTTTTTTACGGTTTTTAACAGGTTATTGGGAGTTGAAGGATGCGCCAGCAACCACGTTGAACCAATTGATAAAGTATTACTCTTTGATTGCTATCGGTGGATTATAAATGTTTAATAAGGTGTCGAAATTGAAGGCATTACGATGGCGGTGGCGCTAATTTAGCCACTACTTTAAAAAAATAAAAAAGGAGGGGCGAGGTTTTAGAAAATAAAATTTTCTGTTTTTTAGTAATAAATTAAGTGTAAATACATATTTCCCTCTTCCTCCTTGATTCCCCTTGTCGTAATTAGCTACACGATACGTCACGTTTTGCTATTCATGACTTTTCTTTCAATTAAAAAATCACGTTGTTATAATGATTATATAATAATATAATGCCATACATAACCGAAAATAATCGTTATGGACCGAAAAAAATGCGCAGAACCGAACCGTTATTTCATTTTTTACCGAAACCGGACCGGAACCGTTATAAATATTTTCGCTTTAATATAAGCAGAACCGGAACCGATATTTCATTTGGGTCCCGGTCCCTGACAAAACCAACAAATAAGAAGGTAACGCCTAATTTCAAAGGTAATAAAACTGCATTCAGGAGTCATTTTAAAAGCAGTTTATGTACGACTGCTTGATAATGCGGTGATTATAATCGCAATTAGTAATCATAATTTACAATATTATGGCCTAGTCTATAATGATAAAGTAAAACGGCCGCCTGTCAATGTGACAGTCGTACTTAGGTGTCAATCCAAGGTAAATTCAAGTATTTTAGAAATACTTGACAAATGCTTGACATCTATTGTCAATGATATATAGATTTTATCGTTTATTGAATTCCATGAAATTTTCATTTTTAAGGGTCGCAGGCTCGCTCGGCTAAATAAACGGCTCGTCCATAAAGACCCAGTTTATGTACTTGATATATAAATAGCTATTATCGCGTGTGTTTATCGACCTAGTTATTATAGAGTTTCTAGTAATTTCAGCAATCCGAGGGAAAATAAACCAATTTGTAGAGGGTTATTTTCACGTACATTTTTTAGGTTTTATTCCATCAAAATATGCAGAAGAATACATCCTTAGAGGTTAAATGCCGTCAAGGTTTCAATTATATTCCATCAAACAAATATTCGTAATCTCATGTTCAATGCTTTATTTTACTTCGACCTCCAGTCCTCGATATCAGAATTATTACAACGTAGTACGTCCCTGGACTACTGCGTGACGAGCACATGTTTAAAGAAAAGAGAACAAAATTCTCAAACCGGCGCTGTAAGCACGGCGCACTCGTCACCGCGTGCAAGCTTCATTACCGTTTCTGTGCTACGCGCTGCATGTGCTTGCTTTTTGCATTTCAGCTTTTTCTATTAGTGATTTGCTTTTTAGTTACTTGTGCGTACAGTAAGTAGGTTTATAACCTTATTCTTTTAGCACACGGAAACTTTGTACCTCTATTCGAGGCGGTTTCCTTGTTTAGGGGAAGTTTTAATCAGTTTTCCCCCTTTATAGTTAGGTATGGGAAAGCATTCAAAACGTTCTCGATCACGTTCTAGAAGCAGGGGCAGGAGCGACAAGCGTCGTTTTAAACGACCTCGCTCAAGCAGCCAAGAAAACCGCTTCGTCAGCGTCGCGTCGGACGATATTCTACGCCGCTTAATATTATTAGAACAAAGAATCCATTCTCGGCACAGTAGTTCCCTTTCTCGAGTTTCGGAATTACCAAGGGGAAGCGGCGAGCGTCCTTCTCCCGGAACTTCGTCAGCCATTTGTTCGCGCTCTGCTCACCAGGATCTAGTCGTCGGTGACCGATCCCCAACCTGTACAGCGGCTTCGGAGGCTGAGGTACCGTCGTCATGTCCGGATTTAATTTTGCCAGAAGCCAAGGAAGAGTACACGCCTAGCGCGGTACCTTCCCGGGCGGCATCTCCTTTGGATGATACAGACGATGTACTCATCCTAGAGGAGGACTACAACTTTACTGAAATTCTAGGAGAAGAGCCAAATGATGAAATAAATTTATTTACTTTAAATAAGGCTTTAGCCAGTAGATAGAACGTAAGTTTACGTAAAGGAATTCCTCCTAAAGACAAAGACACTTTAAAGGATGTTAAAATTCCTACCAATCTACCAAACTTGTCGCCACCGGCGTTAAACCCGGAATTGTTAGTTAACTTGTCGACGCTACACAAAAAGCGAGACGAGAGCTATTTGAATTTACAGAATTCTATAGCACGCGCTCTTATTCTTAATGGCGAAGGATTGGGGCTGTTATTGCAGGAAAATCACCTCTTACCTAAAAAATTAAAAGACGCTCTTTTGAGTAAATTTTGGCAGGCGGGCCAGGCTAATGTTGATTTATTCACCACGGTTACTCAAACTCGCAGAAGTTTATTGGTACCAGCACTTGCTAGGGACCCAGTAGTTAAAGATATCGCCGAAACCTCTTCGGCAGACGACATGCTGTTTGGTAAAGATTTTGGCGTAAAAGTGGCAGCTGCCAGAGCTTTAGCCAAATCTGGGAAAGAGCTTGTCGCACCCCAAACTTCTTCTTTACCTCGAGTTTCACAACCAAATGTAGGAAGGGGACCAGGGGATCCAAGGTCCCTTCTGGACATTCAAAAAACTTGCGTCGCCCAGTACGTTCGATGGGGAAGGAAAATGTACAAAGAGGGCGCCATCCCCAAACTCCGCATCAAACTACGAGACGTTACAGGAACTCGATGAGAAACAGGAAGTAGAGGTAAGTAATTGTATAGCGGGCAGATTGTCGTTCTTTTCTTCGGAGTGGAGAAAGTTTACTTCAAATGCCACGGTACTGGATTATATTTCAGGGTATAAAATACCTTTTTTGTCAGTACCGAAACAAAGCTTTCCTCCGAAGGATTCTTGGTTTCCTCCGGAAGAACTTACGTTAGTAAGGAACACTATAGCGGATCTACTTTCTATGAGAGCTATACAATTATGTGAACCCGAGTTAGGACAGTTCATTTCCCGGATTTTCTTAGCAGATAAACCCAATGGAAAGAAAAGGTTTATTCTGAATTTAAAACAATTAAATTATTTTGTAGAGGCACCTCATTTTAAAATGGAGGATATTCGTACGGCCTCTCGCTTAGTTAAAAAACGTAGTTTTTTAACCACAATCGATTTAAAGGATGCTTACTATTCCATACCAGTGGACCCTAACTTTTACAAATTTTTGAGATTTAGTTTTGAGGGGTCTCTATATGAATTTAGATGCATCCCCTTTGGGTTGGCATCTGCACCTTACACTTATACTAAATTATTGAAACCGGTGGTTCAACATTTTAGACAAAGGGGTGTGTGCTGCGTTAACTATCTGGATGATTTTCTTATTATTGGAGATACCGTTTCGGAATGTCAAAAGCACACACAATATGTATCGGGAGTTTTAAAATCTCTAGGATTTCTTATAAATCGAGAGAAAAGTAACCTAGAGCCAAAAACAAGTCAAAAAATTTTTAGGTTTTACTCTGGATTGTTCGTCACTGAAGCTAAGGCTTCCGATAGAAAAGGAATTAAAAATTGTTAGTTTGATTTCTTACTTCTTAAGAGTAAAACGCTGCAAGATAAGGGATTTTGCCAAGTTAATAGGAGTTTTAGTATCAATTTGTCCAGCAGTACAATACGGCTGGCTTTATACTAAAATTTTAGAAAGAGAGAAATTTTTAAACTTAAAAATTAATGACTAATTAGAACTCTGACATGATTTTGTCAAATAAGGTAGTATTAGGTTTATAATACATTGGTGGATTCGAAATATACCAAATTGCTCTAAAAATTTTCGGTGCGATTCGTTTGATCTGGAAATTTTCACCGACGCATCGTTAAGTGGATGGGGGACATGGGCTGGTAGACATTGCACTCACGGTTGGTGGAGTGAAGCTGAAAAGAATTTACATATAAATACTTTGGAATTAAAGGCGATTTATAACAGTCTACGTAGTATCGCGAGAGAGAAAATCTTGCAATATTTTGGTGAGAACGGATAACACCACAGCCATGTCCTATGTTAACAGAATGGGAGGTATAAAATTTGAAAATTTAATTTTTTTGGCTAGAAGCATTTGGCAGTTTTGTGAGAGGCGCAACATTGTCCTGGTAGCAGCTTACATTAGCTCTAAAAGCAACTCTCTGGCAGACAGAGAGTCTAGATTGTTACCTACAGAAACCGAGTGGTCTCTGGCTCCTTCGGCTTTCAGCAGAATTGTGGCGGTTTTTGGCATTCCAGAAATCGACCTTTTTGCATCTTGTAATAATCATAAATGCAAAAAATATATCTCGTGGTTACCGGACCCACACTCGGTGGCAGTAGATGCCTTTACGGTTAATTGGAGAGATCTGAATTTTTACGCCTTTCCACCTTTTTCTTTGATTTTGCGAACAATTCAAAAAATAGTCCAGGATAAAGCAGAGGGTATTATGGTGGTGCCTTTTTGGCCCTCTCAAGCTTGGTATCCACTATTTTCAAAATTAAAAGAAAAAGAAATGTATTTAGAAAAGGCATCTAATTTACTGTCTTCTCCTTTCAGGGAGGAACACCCATTGAATCTTACCCTGGTTGTGGCAAGATTATCCGGGAAGCGTTCGAACTAAAAGGCTTTCCGAGTAGCTGTATTCATACGGCGGTTTTATCCTTAAGTAAATCAACTTTGTCTCAATATAATAGCACATATAAGCTTTGGTGGAAATTCTGCATTGAGAAGAATATTCCCATCTTCCAAGCTGGTCCACAGGAGGTATTATTGTTTTTGCAAAATACCTTAGAACATCACCCCTACAAATATGGCACTTTTAACTGTCATAGATCTGCATTATCTCTAATTTTACCAAATTCGGTAGGGGAGGACATTAGAGTGAGGCGATTTATGCGAGGAATTTCCAACTTGAGGCCAGCCTTACCAAAATACAACATCACTTGGGATCCAAAACTTCTATTGGTCTATTTGAAAGGATTATTTCCGACGGAATCACTATCTCTAAAATTTCTCAATCTCAAACTAGCAACTCTGTTAGCTTTAATTACGGGTCATAGACTGCAGACAATTTCCTTGATTAGACCGTCAAATATTAAAGTATCATCTACGGGCTATCAAGTTTTAATCACAGATAAATTAAAAACTTCTTCGTCGTCAAGTACTCCGTCTAGCTTACATATACCTTTATTTTCAGATGAACCAGCTTTATGTGTTGCTAGTTTGTTAAAAAGATATTTGGTAGTAACCAGTTCTTTTCGGTCACAGCAGGCTGATTTTTTATTCCTGACCCATCAACGTCCGCATAGAGAAGCCACTAAGCAAACAATCAGCCGGTGGGTGAAGTTAACAATGGAGCTAGCAGGTGTTGACACATCCAAATTTAAGCCTCACTCCACACGCCATGCATCAACGTCAACAGCGCCAAAAAGAGGAGTACCATTGGCAACAATCCTAAAAACTGCTGGTTGGTCAAGAGAATCCAATACGTTTAGAAATTTCTATAACTTGCCCATCACAGATGACATGGATTTTGCTGTTTCGATATTACAGGCAGCAAGATAATCCTGACCCAGTTATTTAGGAAGTTAGAATTTGTTTAAGTTTTAGTTAAATAAGGGTTACGTTAGTATACCTACACAAAATTTGATTGGTTTATGTTCGAGAAGTTCATTTATTATACTTTATGAAAGAAATCATTTTACTCTTTTGAGCCACTGTGGCTCGGACTGCTTTGCACGTGGTCTTTAAAAATCTACGTTGTAATAATTCTGATATCGAGGACTGGAGGTCGAAGTAAAATTATCAAATCAAACGAACTTACCTGAAGTGAAGTTCGATTTTAATTTTATGAGACCTCCAGTCCGAAGATATCAGAACCCACCCTTCCCTTCCCGATTTGCAAATCAGTTCTTTAAACTTAATGAAGCTTGCACGCGGTGACGAGTGCGCCGTGCTTACAGCGCCGGTTTGAGAATTTTGTTCTCTTTTCTTTAAACATGTGCTCGTCACGCAGTAGTCCAGGGACGTACTACGTTGTAATAATTCTGATATCTTCGGACTGGAGGTCTCATAAAATTAAAATCGAACTTCACTTCAGGTAAGTTCGTTTGATTTGATAATTTTGTTCATTGGAGTTCAGCGAGCTTTATCGCAGTCGGTACTCCATTGACGTGAAATGGTGTCGTTTTACTTGATAAAAAGAGGTACTATAATGTTTCATATCTTACGTTGCAAGTCAAAGTTTCCTTGATGAGCCCTAACGTTAGCGAACCAATGGAAAACTTCGCCATTGCTGTCCATTATGAAGTAGGTCTTTTAAGTTAGCTTTAAGATATATAGAGGGGATGAGCGTTGCACGAAATTGAGAGATTCGCGTTTGAGTTGGTGGGAAAAAGCGACAAAGGGTTGCGTTTAGTCAGTTAGAAGGCAAACAGATTCGCGTCTGGTGAATCAACCAAAGAGATTCGCGTCTTGTCAGTCAAGGCATAGAGATTAGCGTTTTCGTCAGTCCAGCGTTTTCTAGCAGCGGCCTTTCCGTAGGAACTAATTATTCATGTCCGTGCTAGGTAGGAATTTCAGGTGTAAATCATTTAAATTTAAATTTAGGGGGAAAACGAATGTAGGTTTTGTATTTTGTATATGGAATTACGGTCCGGATTTAAGAAACCCGTGAGAAAAATAACAGAAGCAAAAGAAGATTCTCAAGAACGACAACTACCTGAAGTAGAAAAGATGTTTTCGCAAGAAAGCCAAGATCTCTTCGGGACTTACGAGAGCGCCAGGGAGGCCCCTGTGAAGGGGGCGAGCCAAAACAATTCCAGGTACCACCCTAAGGAGAACAAGAGGAGATTAGCCGCATTACCGAAGACAAGAGCAGTGACCTGAAACCAGTCGTACAATAGGAGAAATCCAGAAATTAACTGACATGATGGAAACTTTAATTACATTTCAAGAGCTAAATCAAATGAACTCCCACACAGGAGGGCCAGCAGAAAATGGAAGGCGCGTTTTATGAAGCTAGGAGAGGACAACATGAAGAAAATGGAAGCTGCTCTGCAAGCAAGCCATTTCCAAAGGAAAGGAGAATGGAAGAAACTCAGAAGGAGACTCGAGATTTGATCGGAGGTTGGGAACTGCGTATGGAAATGAATTGACAAGAGATTCAGCACCAAACTAGAATGCTATTGGAATATCTGAAACAAAAGTCAAGGAACAGGAGAAAAAAATTAGAAGAACGAGTACAGACGGATGTGAAGAGAACGATACAAACAGTACAAACCGAGTTCAACCGGCGACAAGAAAAATTCAGAATACTTTTGAAGAAAAATTAATCAGAAATCATACGGTTGTGGAAGAATTATTAGAAGGTCAACAAAACAAAATTCGAGAACCTGACAGCAGCATCGACGAGTTCAGCAATCACTGGAAAGAGACCAAGACAAAAACCCACCATGGGAATCCCACGTCAGTTATATACAAGGCCGATCATTTACTGCACCAGAAGTAATAAAAGTTTGATGGGAACATCCAAACAGTACACCCCGTTAGTTTCGTGGAGAGTTTAGAAAACTACTTGAGGAACTTTGAATCCAATGAAGCGGACAAGTTAGCTTATGCTAAGGGGATGGAACGCCAAGGCTTGGGTCGAATTAAATTGAGGCAAGTGGATGTCATGGGAAATTTTTAAAGAAGATTTTATCAAGCAATTTTGGCCAGAAGTCACAACCAGAGTCACATCACCACTGTACCAGGCGAGGCGCTACAGCGATCATGTATGATACTGGGTAAAGAAAACCAACCATTTGCAGCCACCTATTAAGGAATCCCAGTTGGTAAATGTGATATCCCGCCACTTCCCCAGAGACATTGAGAACGTTTTGATACAGTTCACGGTCGAGACGATAAGCGAGCTGGTCGAGACGTTGGAGAGACTCCAGATCTACAGTCAAGAAGAAAGGCCAAGAACCAATTACAACGCAAACAAGAATCAAGAAAGAAGACGAGATGATAATAGAAGACAGGTGAATTACATCCGAGGAAGTTACGACTCGAACCGAAACCAGGAAGGTTGGAGGGGGTCGAATCCAATTTGAAGCGAAATCCGGAAAACTTCGAAGAGGAGGACCAGCTCGACTAGTCCCTCAGAAATTCCATAGGAGCGACGAGCAATTAAATTTAATTAATTTCATTCAAAATTATTAAAAGAAAATTGGAAGAGAACAAGAAAAGAAACCATTGGAAAAAATAAACAAGAAATAGTAGTAAAACAAATCAAGAATCAAGAATTTAAAGCTGTTAATCATAAAAAAGAAGAAATTTAAAAAAAATTAATTGAAGGGGTAGAACCAGTTAAGGACAAAATTCAAAAATATAATGAAAAGTTTGGGAAGTTGGAGAGGGTAGGAGATTCAGAAGAAATAAGGATTCTTAAGCAACGAGAAAAAATATTAGAAGAAATATTACTCCGAGCTCAGGAATTTAATGTGAGGCTTAAGAGAACACAAGAAAAGCAGATAGCCATTTTCGAACGAGAATATTTCAAGAAAGAACAAGAACCGATGACATTGCAAGAAATTGGAACAAGAAGTGAAGATTTATACTACAGTGATTAAATAAGATAAACTAAAGTTAAAGGAAAAAAAAAGGTGAAGATTCGAGAAGAAGTTGAGTATTCTAGGTTATTGAGTCAAGAAGAATTTGACAAAGACAAAGTAAAAGTCGAAGAAATAAAAAATTACGAAATATGACTTAATATATTACTGAGGAATATACTTTATTTATAAACTCAACCCACAATTTTTCTGTTATCGTAAACCGTTTTTGCACGTAAGTCCTTATTTTCGGCATTGTTTGAACTGAATATCATTCAGCGTAATGTTCATTATACTCTTCCATCAATACGCGCCATTGTAACCTATTATGAGGATTATCTAAAGAAAATTAAATAATCTAGTTGCCATGACTTGCACTTTTGTCTTGTGTAGAAATGCACTGTTCAACGAACAATTTTTAACTTTCCACCTAAAATCGCCGATAAAGAAGTGCGCTGTGCCTATTACAAGAGCTACGACGCCACATCTCGTTAGCTGCAATATTTGAACACGTGGGACTCAAAGAATCAAGTCTCCATGACAAAATATCGAAAAAAAATTTGCCTATTCAAAGCTTAAGAAGAAGAAAACGTAATAAGATGAATGAATTGAATTGAATTGAATGCATTGTTAATAATAAATACTTTAGAGATCAACTAGAAACACGCGACCACGACCTGAAGTTCCCTAAAACTACCAACATTTATAAACTTTTTAATTAAAAGATAAATTAAAATTAATTCTGTAGGCGTAAAATGTTATTATAGAAGAAATTGAAAAGCATCGGGAAGTGAAGCACCACTAAATTTATGCCATTCCTCAGTAAGAGTTTTATTAATGACCTGAATCACTTTAAAAGCCCCAAGCAGGAAAAACACTACAACAATAAATTACTCTTCTCCTTTACGTTGTCTACTTTTAAATGATATCAGACAATCAGCTACATTAGTTTGAAGGAATCTTGCGGTAAAAAGAAATTGCAAAAACCACGCGTTTAGTATTGAAGCGGTTCTTTTCCGCGGTAAAATATCACGAAGTAATGTGATCTAAACTTCACACTCGATAAAAAATGCATCCGGTCCAGGTGTATTCCATTGGGGATGTTTCCACAATTTCGTACAATTCGGTCACTGTGTGCATGTTTAAGATGGTATAAAAAATGTAACTCAATGTTTACGTCAAAACACTCACCTTTACCTACTTCTTTACGACGCCATTAAGCTCAATTACACCCTCGCCCTCAATATTTCACATGTTCTGTTTCAGTGCGTGGACACTAAATTTCCTTTGGTCAACACGAAATTGTAACTGCAGGTGTAGGAAAAATTGCTGACTACGCGTACTTAACTGAATTTGTATCCGCTACATTGATCGAGGTTTGTTGTTCTAATCCTTCGTTAAGATAAGGGTAAGTAATTCTGTATGACAGTGTGCTTGTAATTGATTTCACCCTCCATCTTTTAAGATTAACTGTGTTCCAAAATGATTAACCTTCATACACAAAATAACACACTAGCACGTACTACATTATAATTACACAAAAGTTACTAAGATAAGTTTGTAGGTAAACGAAATTTGTACTGCATTTTTTGCAGTAAGCAATTCGTCGGCGAGGATATAATTTAATAAATTTTAAGCTTTATCATATAAATGTCCAATAATAAACGAGAGACAAAATTAAAACGGCCCTTAAATAAGTTAATTGCTATTTACACGTAAATTTATAAGACATTAAATTTATAACACGAGCGCGAATTTCACTATT